TTGGGGGGGGGGTTGTTGTTGTTTTTGCTCAACACTTTTTATGTCCTTTTAAAAACACATTTCTCTGTGAATTTTCCTGAAAAACGTTGACGAAAGGCTCAAAATATGTGATTTTTCAGTTTTCAAGGCCTCTCAAGCTATTGAAGAATTGAAGTTACCCGACTTTGGTGGCCCTTTTTTCGCTTATTTTACTACTGAAACAAGGCGATCCCATCTCCTTCAATCGCGAATATCTTGACTTCTATTCAAGATAAAGGGATGGTGGTTTTTTCGCTGAGAGCAAGGCAAACGAGCAAGTTATCAAATGATAACAATAACGCCACATGCCCAAAAATTGACGAGCACCCGATTCCACCATGCCGTGACACGTGGCATCGCTTTGGTATGTTAAGGTTGGTTATGAAGATGCTATTGATGAGCTGGGATTTCACTTCGGTTGGGTTGTTCTTGTGACTGAGCAGGGGTGATAGCTGGCAGGTCACTGCATTTGCCTTCATAGTTCTTGTTTCTATTTCTTTGTCCATACGCCCATCTTGTGTGAACATGCTTCCCAATAATTTAAATTCCTCTACTTGTTGGAGCTGTGTTCAATCAATGTGAATGTCGAGTTTCCCTGGGTTTCTGCTGACCTTCATAACTTCAGGTTTTTTAAAGGGAGATCTTCATGTTTAGGTGTTTACATTCCTCATTTAGTTTTGCGGTGTGTTTTGGGGATTCCTCTTCATCTGTATTCAATATACTCTGGTCATTAGCAAATAGAATCTCGTTCAGTTCAGTGATGTTGTCATTTGCTGCTTTGGTGATCTTATCCATCCATATAATTGATGAAGAGCAGCGAAGAGAGAACACACCCTTGTCTCACCCCAGACCTGATGGGGAACCAGTCCGATAGTCCTTCTGTTGATCTTACGGCACACAGGCTGTTTTTATAAAGTGAGATCATGTTCTCCAACAATTGTCCTGTTACACCGTATTCCTCTAGGACTTCCCAAAGTTGACATCTATTCACCTGGTCGAACGCCTTTTCCTGGTCCACGAAGACGATATTGAGGTCTTTTAGTTTTAGTAAGAGTTTTACGGCACTAGCAACACAATAAGGTCATATAAGTGTCGAAGAATAGATGGGTTACTAGAGAGTAACATGCACAAAAAAGAAGGATTAGAGATAAGGACGATATCGATAGATGTTTGATAGGAAAGAAGGAGCAATCCTCACCAGAGCACCCGCCAACCACCCACGATATTGAGGTCTTTGTCAGAAAATTGAAACGACAAATATAAGCTCGAAGTAAGTCCTACGTAGGCCATGCGTAATTTACATTCTTCGGTTGCCCCATGAGGGTACATCATCCGGTGCCTTGCCGACTGGCGTGGGCGATCATGGACCTCCACTTCCCTCTGTCTTTCGAAGCAGCAATGGTGTCTGTT